TAGGTCCAGCTCTGTGTTCCTGAGAGGCAGGCCCCAGTCGGGGGAGCCACTCCCCATGGTAAAGTGGGGTGGGTGAGGCACAGAGGGCAGGAGGGTTAAAGTGAGGGGGGTGATGGTCTCAGGAGCAGGTGGAAGAGGACTGCCAGGGTGGGGGTAGAGAAGCCGGGGCCAGTGGGTGGCTGTGCTGTACCCTCATGGGCCCCTGTTGCTTTGCAGACAGACGCCCTCCTGCTGCAGGCCGAGCGCCGGGCCCTGTGTGCCTGCTGGCCGGCTGGGCGCTGAGGACCAGCCAGCGCTGCTCCCTGCCAATAAACACTCAGCCAGCACGCCTGTGTCTTGTCTCCCTGCTCTGGCAACCAGAGCCCCCTGCGTCGCCCCCAGGAATCCCTGGGCCCCTCTCTGGGACTTGGTTTCCCTAGCTGTTCCATGTGGGTGGGGCCCTCTTGGCACCTGGCTTGCGCCAGTGCTGAGAGGCATGTGGACCTGTGCGCCACAGTGACACACCTTCCAGGGACCTGCTGCCTTACCTGCATGCCCTTGTTTCGAGGCCTGGGAAGTGGGGAAGCTGGCCCGACCCCCCTTATTCTCCTGAGCCACTGCTCCAGGGCTGAGCCCCACCAAGGCTCCTCTGCACTGGAGTGGGGATGGCTGCAGCTGGAGGGGCTCCCTGGAGGCTGAGCTGGCAGGAGAGGGAGGGGGATGGGGCAGTCGGTGAGTGCCTGTCCCAGGAAAGGCGGGCTGGGACCTCCCCCCACAGCCTCAGCCCTGCCTGCCAGGCCCCACCTGCAGCCCTGAGCCTGGGCCCCGGGCACCACACTCACCTCCACACGCCTGTGCAGATGGTGCCCAGCAGGTGACCTGCAGAGGAAGCAAGCGACACCTCCCTCCCTTTATTCATTCCATAGATGTTTTATAAAATCAGAGCCTTTTATCAGTGTAACGTGTGCTGTAGTTAGAAAGAAATCCAGGAGCACAGGAGGGGCTGAGATGGGGAGTGGACACCACTCACCCAGGCAGTGGGACACCTCTCTGGGGCCTCAGTTTCCCAGTTGTCGCTGAGGCACAGTGTTGCGCACTTGTTCACTGTCTCAGGCAGGTGGAGTGGGACATTCCCGGTCCACTGCCCAAGAGGAGGCTGACCCTTTAGCTCACGAGTCCCCACCTCTGGTCTGTCCCATGGCGGTTTTTATTGCCCCTGCTGGTTGCTGTGTGACACGTGTGTGTACATGCTTAGGTCCAGCTCTGTGTTCCTGCCCTTCGCCCTCCCCCCACTGGCCTCCAGGCCGTTGACCTGTTCTGGAAGGGCCTGACAGCACCCAGCACGCAGTCCTCTAGGGGCTGGTCAGGTGCTAGGAGCCAGTGTGAGCAGAGTCCTGCTTCAGCGGCTCACACCATGGCGGGGAGACCGAGCTGGAGGTCCAGCGGCGGCAGTGCCCATGAGGAACTCTAAGGCAGGCTGGGGAGACTGGAGGGACAACTGTAGCCACTGCGGGCCTTCAAGCCTGGGCATCAGAGGCATGTTGTGCAGAGACCAGGCTCCTGTCCTGGGCTCAGCAGCACCTGAGCTGAGGTGGTGGAGACACAGTGGTCCCTTTAAGGGCATGGCCCAGTGGTGCTCCTGTCCCATTTGTTGGCTTCAGTCACACGGCCATTCCTAGCTGCAAGAGAGGCTGGGGATGTCGTCTTTGTTTTAGGCTTGGGTTGCCAGATTTGGCAAATCAAATACAGAAACAGCTAATAACTTTTTAGTATGTGCGTATGACCCATGCAATGTTTGAGATATATTAAGAATTATGCCTTGTCTATTCAAAAGTCAAATTTAACTGGGTGTCCTGTGTTTTATGGGTAGCCACGGGTAAAAGATGGGGGCCAGCTGAAGGGGGCTTGTCGTAGAAGCCTCCCAGGGGAGGTGCCCTTTGGGATGCAGGAAGGACAAGAGCCAGGGGACTCAGGCAGGGAGGGGCCTGGAGGCCTAGGGGCTGGTGCGTTTGTTCCCTCCCTGCAGGTGGTCAGGAGGGAGGGGGGGCTTTGAGTCTGGCATCTGTTGGAACAGGATGACTGGCCTGTAAGGTGACTGTGGCCATCAGAGCTGAAGAGGAGAGTGGCCAGGGCTAGGGTGGTGGCAGCAAGAGGCAGTTGGGTCCCAGATGTATCAGAAGGTGGAGCCAGCGGGCTTTGCGCTGGGGCGTCTGTGGGTGACAGGGAGGAGGGGTGGAGCTGGGTGACAGCGAGGTGCAGGGGGCCGCTGGGCGGGTTCGCCTGGAAAAGGGCTGGGAGGGAAGGTTGGGACAGGTGTGCTGGCTGGGGTCCCCATGGCCTAGTGTGGACAGAGAGGAGATGAGCATGGAGAGGGCAGAGAGATGAGCCGAGGGACCCCCAGGGGTGGGGCAGGGTGTCACATGCTGCTGAGGTTAGTTAGGCAAGGCCCCAGACGACCAGTGGCTTTGGTAGCTCTGGTCATTGGTGAGCTTGAAAAGAACGGGGTCCATGGGTGACAAAGTCCTGACAGGGGTGCCCTAGGAGGCGCAGAGGTGGTGGAACCAGCACAGACGACATCTGTGGGTTTAGCCAGTGGTGGCTTTTGCATTCTGTCATGGAGCGGCCTGGAGGCTGACTCTAAAGAGCATTGCGACGTCTGCATGGCGGTGGTGGTGGCAGTGGAGCAGGGGACCGGAAGCACGTCTTTCTGCGGCAGTGCCTTTGTTCTCCTGGGCTTCGTGTCCGCCTCCCCCGCCTGCCTCTCTCCCCTCCTTGCATCCTCCAGGTCGAGTCTCAGAGCCTCCCTGCCCGCTCCTGCTCCAGCCGTCCCCTGCCCGTCGCCCACCCTTCACTCTTCCAGCTTGGGCCACCGTGTCCTAGATCCTGCGGCCTTGCAGAGAAGTGTGTGTGGGAAGTGAACTTTCTGAGTCAGCCTGTCTGAAGATGTCTTCTGTCGCTCTCAGCCCTCCGTCCTCAGGGCCTTTGCACCTGCTGTGTCCGCTGCAGTTACCCTGGACTCAGCCACCCCATTCTTCAGCCCTTGTCCCTAAGGGACCCCAGAGTGTTCATCTCTCTGTTAATAGTTTACTTCCTGAAGCCCCCACCTCCACACTGGATTATTCTTTTCGGGGCCAGCGCGGGCTGGGGCTCCGGTAGCTGTGGCGAGGGGAGGGGGCGGGAGGGGACCGGTGGGTGGCGCGCGTGGACTCCAGGGAGGCGCTGGCTCTGAGCACGGGGCCCCTGTCGCTGGCAGGTCCGGGCTGTCTTCCTGCCGTGGGAGGCGTTTTGAGCCCGCTTCCCAATGGAGGTGAGGGGCAGGCTCGACCCGGAGATTTAGGTCCTGTGGCTTGGGGACATTATTTACACCGTCTTCTCTTTCTGCGGAGCCTGCGGGGCAGGCCGGGTTCTGTGTTTCTTTCCTCTTCCCGCCTCCTGGTCTTTAGGCTCCGGCCCTGCCGCCCGCCTCCGCTGTCCCCTTCTCGTGTCCCAGGACACCTCGGCCTGTGGCTGCTCCTCGCAGCCTCCCGCTCACTCCGGTTTCCTGCAGCCCCAGGTCCCCACGTCCTCAGGGGAGGCCCCGTGGGTCCGTCCTGGGCCTGGGCCCGCGGCCCCATCTGCACCGCGGGTGGGCTCTTCTGCTAATGGACCGTCCTGTTTCTGGCGTCCCCTCCCTGCACCCCAGTGTGTGGCCGGGGTCTCGGCCGCCGCGCGCCCAGCGCCCTTGTTCCGGGAACCGCGCGGAGGCAGCGGGTGCCCCGAGCTCTGCGAAGGTGCGTCCCGCAGGGGACAGGCGGCCCCGTGGGCACAGCCAGGGGTCTCGGGTGGGGAGGGGGGCCTGGGAAGCAGAAGCGACAGGAGCGGGCGGGGCGGCCGGCCTCGCCGAGCCCTGGTTTCCTCGCTGGGGACACGCGTCCTGACGCCGACGCGGCGCTGCCACCGGCAGAGGGCGCGCGCCCGCCTCCCCACGCAGCCCAGCGGCGGGGGGCGGCTGCCGTCACAGAGGGGGAAACTGAGGCTCAGTGGGAATTGGGGCGGCCCTGTTGCCCGCGCAGCCTTCCCCTTTCAAGGGGAGACGGAGAGGGCTCAAGGCCACCCCCAGCCCCGCGGCGCGTTTTAATGTCTCTCAGACCTTCCAGGTGGCTCTTCTGGGGTGTCCAGCCCCTCCCCTTCCAACGGAGCGTGCTGTCCCCTCCCCGCTCCCAAACTCCTCTGGCCCGTTCCAGGCTCCTATGAACCAGGGAGCTGGGGGACTGGCCTCACCAGGCCATCATGGCCACCGAGGAGTCACACAGTTACAGGAGCTTTGGGAGACTTCGGGTGTAAAGGCTGAGGTCAGGCCAGCTGGAGGCGGGACCTCTGCAGATGCACAACGGAGGGGCCCACCAAGGTCACGCTGGATGGGGGCCCAGGCCCCTGCCTCGGTCCTTGGGCCTGGCTGTGGGGGCAGTTCAGAGGCAGGCTGAGACCGAGGGTGTGGGGTGAGGTGGGCGGGTAGGAGCTGCCAGAGGCAGGAGCCCTGCAGGAGCTGGACCACTCTGCTGAGGTCACCGAAGGCCTGGGGACCCATAACCCCGTCTGGGTTCAGGGGTCAGGACACTGCTCAGGAGCTCCTGGACAGTGGACTTGGCCTTTCCTTTTTCCTGGCTCCATCAGGAGCACGGAGAGCGTTCCCCCACCCCCTGCTCTGGAGTTCAAGGCCAGCCTCACCTTCTTCCATCCCCGACCCCTGCAGGCACGTAGCCCCCCACCTGTCCCCAGTGCCCGGTTTTTCCTGCCTGGACCCCTTGCATGCTGTTCCCTCTGCTGGGACACTTCCTGCCATCTGCCTGGCGGACCTCACACCGCAGGGCACCACTGTGGCCGGTCAGGGGCCTCATTCAGGGTCAGGCATCGTGAGGAGCTGAGAGGCCTGGGTGAGGTCCTTTGAGATTTTCTGATTCTGCTCCCCTGTCCCCGAAGGCCACGGCCGGGCTCCAGGCATGACCTGGCATCTCAGAAACATGGAGGGGGTGCCTTCCCAGCATGGCTGCCTGTCCTGGCGGGGACTGGGGCTGTGGCCTAGTTCAACCTCTCCCCCTCTGCCTGAGTCCCTTAGCGCCACAATGCATCCCCCACTCACGTCCCTGCCAGGCCCAGCCTTCCTCGGCCTCTAGGTGACCTTAGCGGCCCTTCTGGCCCCCACTCCACAAGCTGAGAGGTCCTCAGGCCTGGACCCCTAGGCCTCGTCCCCACCCGCAGGTGTAGTGAACTCCGCTCCAGGTGCCCTTCGGGGTGACGTGGAGGGGGTGCGGAGCTGCAGGGAGGCTGGGTCCGAAAAGTGCCGCGGGTGGGATCTGCGACTACTTGGCCTCGCACCTGAACCCCGCCCCTCCCCCCTCCTTCAGCCCGCAGCGTCTGCAAGTCCTGCTTGCGGGGACCGGGAGGACGCGGCTGGGCGCAGAGCCCCTCCTGCACCTGCACCGAACCCATGGGGCGCATGCGCGGGCCGCGGAG